AGTGGGAAGACAGCTAATTTAGAAGTGATAGACTAGTGGGAAGACAGCTAATTTAGAAGTGATAGACTAGTGGGAAGACAGCTAATTTAGAAGTGATAGACTAGTGGGAAGACAGCTAATTTAGAAAGTGATAGACTAGTGGGAAGACAGCTCGTCAAACACCACCCACAACCAACTCTTAGGCTACTCTTTACCAACAAAAGTAGGATTAACCATCACATTATAAAGCCTCTATGGCAAAAAGGTGATAGGACACAAACCCACCACTTGAAGATCGAGAGTTGAGTACCCTAATCATCAGGTTCACTACTAACATTCACTTGATTAACTAACTCGTGAAACATATAATAATAATAATGTGTACGAGATAAATTATCAAATAAACTTTTAGCATTTATTTCAGCAATTTAGTTTTTAAGATCAACATCAGGATAACCATTTTTTTTTCTTTTGACAATCTACTACTCAAACCTAAAAACCGTGCCTCGCCAAACAATTCTCAAATGCATTTTTATCTTATTGTTTTTGCACAGACCTACACAATAGGTTATTTGTGCTCTGACCACAGTGGGCATCAAAATCCAACTTTTAGTGTTAAGTCCTCTGTCTTATTTGCTTAAATTAAAGATATTAACAAAGTGCTCTAAAAAAACTTAAAAACACTGAAGCCAGGGCATCTTGGTTAGAAAGTACAACATAGGAAGGCATTTCCCATATTAAAAAAAGTAAAGATATCCTTCCAAATGAACACTTGATATAGTCCAGGTTATGTCTTTGCAATATTCTAGGTACACAGATTTATATAGTTTTAAATAAAGCTAGCATTCACAACATCTTTTTTTTTTATAACATTTCTAAATTAACATCACATGAAGTGTCCGTACTATACAAAAAATAAGTGCATTACAAACAACAGTGTCTAAATCAATCATCTTTGTCGATAGTTACCACTAACATAAGCATTACTTTTACTTCTGTAAGAGCATACATTCTAAAGAAGAAACAGTGATAAAAGAATGAAAAACTGTCTGATCAGACAAGAGATGTCTAGTAGTTGGTGGTGTTGGACTAGCTGCCTTCCTTGTAATCTGTACTGTTCAGAATTAGGGAGAGCTATGTGCAGACAGTCCTTTGTGTAACTTAGCGTGAAAAGTAAAAAAACAAAACAAACTGGAATTTGACTGCCAGTCTTGTAGCACACCCATGGTGCCGAAGTACAGAGTTTGTTTTGTTGGCAACAGACCAGGAACCATAAACTCTCAGACTCACAATCCAAGCACATTATATACACATAGCAGCACACTATATACACATAGTAGCACACTGTATACACATAGCAGCACATTATATACACATATCAGCACACTATATACACATTATTTACACTGGCAATCATTATATGCATGTATCAGCACATTATATATGCATATCAGCACACTATATACACATTATTCACACTGGCAGCATACTATATGCACATATCAGCACATTATATGTGCATATCAGCACACTATATACACATAGTAGCACACTGTATACACATAGCAGCACATTATATACACATAGCAGCACACTATATACACATTATTTACACTGGCAAACATTATATGCATGTATCAGAACATTATATATGCATATCAGCACACTATATACACATTATTTACACTGGCAGCATACTATATGCACATATCAGCACATTATATGTGCATATCAGCACACTATATACACAGCAGCACATTATATACATATATCAGCACACCATATACACATTATTTACACTGGTGCCACATTATATGCACATATAAGCACATTGCATGTGCATATCAGCACGCTATATACACGTATCAGCACATTATACATTCTAAGAAATAGTAGCAGACACAATCACAATAAACAGAGCCTCAGAACTTAACTTTCCATGCATATTATAAGTTTTTTTAAATATATATTAATACCACAAACATCAACAAGTATATAAATGTTTATAGATTAATATTAATGTTAAAATTGTCTTTGTACAAAAAATCCTAAATTATTCCATCTCACATACTTATCCATTTTTTCAAACATCCAAACTGGCTCTTTATTAATAGGTACTTCGAGCTGATGGATAAAAGCAAGCTTTCTGGCTATCTTAGTTGAAAGTTCAGGATCTTGAAGTTCCTGGCAAGTCATGGCTTTGGCCTAATAAAAATGTGTTATGTTTACAAAATATGTCTGAACCAAATGGGTTTCATCAGGCATACACAACTAACTTAAGTTTACTACAACATAACATTTTATAACTTATAAAAAATTCTATAATTCCACTGGTTAACAATGAAAGACAAAAATGCATATCTAAAAATATTTTCACTTTTACAAAGTGTTTTCAGCTATAACAAAAAATACTAAATTATGACTTGAAATGATTTTGTAGCTCAAATAAATCCACAAAAATATTAAGATTAATCGTGCTGATCACATTACATAAAAGTAGAAAAATATCCATGAACTCACAGGAATATATTCTTCAAGCCTTCCTTCTGGGAAAATCCCATAAAGCTTTGGTCCAAGATTCCTCTCAGAAAGAAGCATAAATATTATACTTTCTGTAATGTTGGCTTCAACCTGTCCATCATGGACCTGACCGTACATGCGAAGCAGGACTTGATCGGGTTCACCATCCAGAGGAGTGTGAGTTTTTGGAAGTGAGCAGTGGTACAGCAAGTTGCTAAGGCCTCCACTAGTTGTGACACAGAAACAAAAAACACATTACAGATATTTTTACAAACCTAGTTACAATTCTATATTAACTAGCACAGTTTCAGAAATTTTCAAGCTTTCAAACACAAATCTTTGTGAAATGCTAGTATGCATATATGTTCATTTTTAAAATTCTTGGCCACAAAAAAATAGGATATGAACCATAATTGACAAAGCACATAAACAGTAATTATTAGTAAACAGCTTAGCTACATTAGTTGAGCTGATTTCAACACAACTTTCAGATTTTGAATTGGATACCAGGAAGCGTGGAAACAGCATTAACTGACTGAGTATACGATGAATACAAAAAAATGAAAGAAGGGAACATGCCACATTTGTCATCCATTACCCTGATGCACTGTACCAAGATGTATATTAACTGCAGTAGAAAGTGTAAAAGTAGTCAGTTGTCAAATCAGTAATAACAGAAAAAGGCGTGGCCATATCAGGGCAGTTTTTCGTGTTGCCGGGTCTTAACTAAAATTTGGAAAAGTGCATACTTATTCATTCAATCAAAAGCCGTTATATCCAAATCAACCATACTGATCAATGCAATATTTCTTCTGACATTTACCCACAAACATAAGATAGAAAACTTTTATAAGGATATCTGAAAGTTGTAGCTTGTTTTTAAATAGATTTAAGCTTGTTTATGAATTTTATTTCAGGAAAATTGAGTGCCATCTGTGTGTGCTGTTTGTAAATACTGTGTTGGCTGCCCTGCAGTGCCAGCATGGGTTGCAAAGAAGCTCTTGCCCCTTTAAAGGTGGCTTTGCATAATGCTATTGTGCATTTATTAGGCATAAATTATTCCCGGTGTTTTATAGAAGATGAGGGGTACACCCCCCCCCCTCAACAAACGTTTGACAATACAAAGGAAGAAAACTGTTAGATACACTTACAAAAATTTTTTAGTTTATATTCAATATTTTCATACATGCAGATGTACGTAATTGTAATACAGAATGTCAGTCATGAAAGTGACTAAGTTCCCTTTACTCTTGATACCTATTGCCCTGGGTCTTTCATCTGTGTAATCTTGTGCTTTCTCAAGATAAAGATTTCTATCATGTTGTACTAACTTTGTAGAGGGAAGCTTGTGTTGCAATAGTTTCTTCATAAATGGATCAGTTTCTTGGAAACACCAGGATATATTTCAACTTAAAACTCAATTAATTTATCAGCTACAAAACACTCCCTATATTTCTTTAACAAATCTGCTGTGACTTGCCTAATTGATATTTTTCAGGAAATTGTTTTTATCTGAAAATACCACAGACACTTAGAAAGGAGATAGTCTGGTGCCATGTGAGGATTTATTGCAGAGTTTCTGTTGTTGTTTTTTTTTTTCTAAGTAAAGACTAGCTCTTGCTTGATCTATTGTGTTGAAATGAGTTTATAGGAACACTTTTACCAAAAAGAATGGCTTATTCTAAATGTAGAAGTACTCACCACAACCAAATGAGTTTATAGGAACACTTTTACCAAAAAGAATGGCTTATTCTAAATGTAGAAGTATTCACCACAACCAAATGAGTTTATAGGAACACTTTTACAAAAAGAGTGGCTTATTCTAAATTTAGAAGTACTCACCACAACCAAGAGAAAGAGGGTTTAGAGAAGTAAGGACAACTTAAAGTCTTGTGGAACTTGGTGCCTGTTGAGTCCAAGACCAATGTGAAGGTCTCCACAGGACTCCCAGGTCATCAGAAGTCAGAACAACTGAGCTACAACTCTGGTCCAGACAACAGATGATAAGCCAAGAAAGGCTGACATTCTGCTGGTGGATGACCTCTGCCAATTAAGAGCTGTTTACTAGCAATTGAGACAGACGATAACCATGCATAAGAATGGCTAAACATGCCACTGGTGGACAACCTCTGCCAGTTAGAGCTGTTTTTTAGCAATTGAGACAGAGGGTAACCATGTATCAAGAAAGGCTAAATATGCTGCTGGTGGATAACTTCTGCCACTTAAGAGCTGTTT